GCCCAGGGGAATTTGAGCTATTTCATAAATTATGATCCTTTTCAAAGCTTATTTTTACATTTTATAGCAATCTATAGACATTCGGATGCGACAAACGATGTTTTGAATCTTTTGGTATTGATGAGTATTGGTACTCACATTATCGATACTCATGGTATCGATACTCATAGTATCGATTGTCACAATATCGGCACTCATAGTATTTGTACTCATAGTACAGATACTACAAGAACATTATCGATACTATGACCTGAAAAACCAAGAAATAAGCTCGGAAGTCACCAAAAAATTCTCATAAACACTCTAGTTTACCCCCAAATTAACAAATAAAGCTTAAAGGGGTCTTATAAGGTCATCTAACACCATAAAATCACAATATTTACAATAATAACATCATCCAGGGAATAAATCAAGCATAAACTCTAAAATTCTTACATACCAAAATCTCAATAAAACATCATGATTATGAAAATCTTAACACCACAAAGGATTAGAAATACACTACCTTGCTAAAAGAATCTCAAAATGAATATCTTTTAGCTAGGTATCACTCTCCTCCAAGACTTGGTTGCTCAACCCCCACTTTCTCTTTAGCTATAAAGAACACAAGGCTTTGAAACATCGAAACAAGTTTGTTAGAGGGATTAAGTACGAATTTAAAGCTTAAAAGAAGCATAATAGATGCTCAATAACTTAACTTTAGCTATGGCACATAGAGAGGAAGAAGGAGAATGAGAATGAGAATGAGATGAGGGAGTTGGGAAATGAGGAGGAAAATAAAAAGGCTTCTCATATTTTCAAAATGGTAAAATCACACTATTGGTCCCTTATAATCTTTCGACTATGCAAAAATCCACTTTTTATGATCAATTGGGCCCAATTCACAACCAATTAAGCTAACACTTGGCCAAACTACTTTAATTGAAACCTCAACACAATTCACTAACCTCTCGAGTAAATCCGAAACTACTAACCCAAAATTTGGCGTGTTATAGATTCTATACAAAATAAGGTGGAGGTTAAATATGCATTACTAGGGGTTCAAACTTGGGATCCCTAAGGTATCAAGCAAAGCCCTAATCACTAAACCAAATATATCATTTTGTTAATTTTTTACACTAACTTCTATCTATTGTATAATTATTAAGGATAAAAAATAAAAATATATACAAAACATTCAAATGATATTTAATTTTTAATATTTATTCATTTTAAAACAAAATAAAATAAATTTAACATTTTTATATTTTTGAACTAAATTTATGAAGGAAAAAAATAAATTAAAAATATTTTTTCATTTAATATTTTTAAACAAAATATTGTAATTGTTTTTCTAATTATTTTAGTTATCCCATTCTTTCGGTCAATTCTTTTAAGTGTGTTTATTTTTCTCTTTTTAATTGTTGGTTTTAATGCTTAATTTCTTTAGTTTAGTATTATAAATTCTTTTTAGTTATTTTTTCATTATTTTTTTTAAAAAAATATTCCTTGTTTTAGTTATCTTATGCTCATATAAAATATTAAATTTATTTTGTTTAAATATAAAAAAAAATATTTTTTTATTATTTGTTTTTTCATAATTTTTAAAAATATTAATTTTATTTTATTTTATTTTAAAATTTAAATGTATTTATAGTTAAATATCACTTTGAATGTTTTTATTTCTTTTTCCTTTTATCCTTAATAATATTATGCAATAGATAGAAATTAGTGTAAAGAATTAATATTATGCGATAGAAATAAATTAATGATGTATTTGTTTAAGGCAAAGGGTTTGTTTATACCTTGGGTAACCCAATTTAAACCCCACAAATTCATATTTTACCTTAAGCTTATTTTCTATCCAATCATAGGTGACACGTGTTATCATTTCATTGGATATAAAAATTATTTAATTAAATAAAATAAAATTATTTTAAAAATCTTCAAATCAGGTAGTAACATGTGTCATTAGTGACACATGTTATCATTATCATATTTTAACACAAGTCACATCCTAATTAAAGGCTTTAATTTATTAAATTAAACTTAAATTTGAATCAAACCGGTATAATGTATAAGTATTTGGGACTAAATTTATAATTATACAAATTTTATTAATTGACTGATCAACACTTTCATTAGATATTAATGATAAGTGGCTTGAATGGATACAATTAAATAATTACTTAGTCTGATTGACAAAATTGAAAGATTGATAGTAAAACTAAAAGGGCTAAATACTTAAACGTTCAACGTAAAGTCTACTCTAACTTTAAAAAATATACTTAATATAAAATAAAAATTAGGTTATTTTAATTATTTTATTTTATTTTATTAAAAATATTTTATTTAAACCATTCAATTTCGATATATTTTAATTTTATAATTTCTTATTCAAACTAGTATAGGTTGGAATAATTACTAGTTAAAACTAAATGAGTGCAAATCATATTGGGTTTGTTGAATTAAAATCAAAATTAATTGCAAGAAAAAAGTTATTCATAAATATATTTTAAGTATTTTTATTAAAATATCACTATATTATTATATTAATATTAAATTAGGGGTGAGTATTCTATCGAGTCAAGTCCATTAAAATTTTCTGAGTTTTCCGAGTTGAGAAGTCATCTTTTATAACTTCAAACATTATTTGAAAATTTTCAATTCGAATCAAGTTTATAGAATTTGTGTCTAGTCGAGTTATTAGAGTTTATGTTTAAATTTAATCATAAATGTTTATATTATGGTACTATTTGATTCTAATTTAAACAATTTTCTTCAACCGTATATAATACAAATATATTTCTTCATATTTTTATGTGATATATACATCATACAAAGTCGAGAGATTCAACTCAAATATGAAAACTAATTCACCAATCACTAAAAATTTTGAGTTATTCGAGTTCTATTTTATAACTCGACTCAAATTTGAACTTTTTTATTTGACTCGAGTTTATTAAATCATGACTCGAAGTCAATTCAATTAGAGTTTTTGTTAATCGAGTTGAGCTTTGCTCACCCCTATATTAAATGCATAAAATATATCAATAGTATTATTTTTATGAAATTAATAAATTTTATTAATTTTATTAACACTTTATTATATATTATTAAAATAAGAATAGAATATCATATACTATTATAATATAACTGAGTATATTATTATAGTATTAGAAAAATAAAATTATATTATTAAAATTATTATTACTATATTTTAAATATTTTAATGATTAATATATTTATTAAAATTATACTAAATTATTATGTTAATATAAAAAAATATTAATTTGAGTATTTATGTTTTGAAGTGAAAAATTTTAAAAATAAATTACGAAAAATAAGACCGTAAGTTATTTTTTTAAAAAAATATAAAGGAAATTTATTAACCAGAAAGATTAATTACATTGATCAAAGTATTTTTTATCAATTAAACGCTAAAAAAATTAATATATTTACTTGAAACAAATAGATCCTAAAATAGTATTGAAAAAATTCAACTATTTTTATCTTCAATGTAATAAAAAGATTTCACTAAATCATTTCATAATAATCTTTAAAGATCATCATTTAAATGTTTAAGTTCTCCATAAAAGAAATGCATTGTTTTGAACACAAAATCCTATTGAAATAGTAAAAATAATACTGTTATCGACTATCAGAGAAGTGTCTGTAGGAGTGGGCACTTCACCAATGACATGTGCTCAAAGAAATGGTAGATAAGAGTAAACACTTCTTAGACCATATTTTTCGAATATAATCCCTTTTGCATAAATAAATTAATAATGTATATTACACATTTTCTTTTAGATCAACTTTTAAAAACTCTACGAATTAATTAGTGGTTAAAAAACTATTGTTATTTTTAAGGGTCTCGGATTTAAGCCCTAATGATTGTAATAGGGGTGATTGAGCGTTCATTGTCAATGACTGAAAATATCTAGAATAGATACTACTTTATACTTACCTTAGCTTAATTAAAAGAAAAAAGCTTTTAAAAATCTACTTAATATAAAATCGGGTTATTTTAATTATTTTATTTTATAAAAAAAAGTACTTTATTTAAATCATTCAATTTCGATATATTTTAAATTAGAATTTTTTATTCAACTTAGTTTATGTTGGAATAATTAGGAGTTAAAACTAAATGAGTGCAAATCATATTAGGTTGTTAAATTAAAATAAAAATTAATTGGAAAAAATAAGTTAAAATGGAAATTGACAGCTAGATTTAATAATTTACTTTTGAACGCCACATCTGAAACCGTAATTCCTTTGTATTTGTTTCTTTGGGTTCAAAAAAAGAAGATACACAGAATCACAGCTTTAGACAGAAGCAACAAGGAATTGGATGGTTGACCGTTGACCTCCCGCGTTTCCTTAACTTCCCCGTTCCGTTTCTGCCACCAAGGACCCCTGCACCAATAATTCCAAATCCTGCTGGTAAGCCCCGTAGTTATCTCAAAAGTCAGAGGGCATAAGTATCATTTCACTCATGTACTTAAAACTAAAATAATAGAAGGTACAGCTAAGCCAAGCGGACATAATAATTCTGCGGATCCTAAACCCCACTCTCTAAATCGCACGTGATGTCCAGAGCTTCCAAAACACAAGTGGAGGCAGAGAACGGAAATAGGGCCCGTTCATGATTTTTTTAAATTTAATTCGAAATTAAAGTAAAAAGTTAAAATTCAATGTAAGTTTGAAAATCTTAAATTAAAAATATTCTTAAATCTAACTTGATTGAAGTTTAAAATCGAACTTTAATATAAAACTTAACTATACAAAAGCTTTATATTATATTTTAAAAAATAACATATAAATACAAGTACTATTAATAATTTAATTCAAATCGTTAAAAATTGGTACTAAATCTGTTTAATTTAAGTGTTAACTATATTTTAACCGAATTAATTTTATACGACGGCAAAGAAGAGCGCGTGGGAAATGGAGATGCAGAATGTAAAGCGGTGGTAGGGCAAACGATGTATAATTATTTCTCTTTTATCTAACTTTTGCTCTCCCCCCCCCCTCTCTCTCTCTCACCTAAACCTAGTTCATTTTGATTGTTAGAGGAGAGGGTGAACTCAAGAAGAAGAAGAATACCACATCAGAGAAAGCTCTCGAGAATTCTGATTCGTTATATTTTGGTAGCAACGTAGAAGAAGATCACTAAAAGGAGGAAGAGGAAGAAGATGACTCCAGCTAATTTGACAGGGCAATTCGGTGACACCACTTACACTAAGGTGTTTGTTGGAGGTCTGGCTTGGGAGACTCACAAGGATACCATGAAGAAGTACTTTGACCAATTCGGTGACATCTTGGAGGCTGTCGTCATCTCCGATAAGGCCACCGGCAGATCTAAAGGCTATGGATTCGTATACCCCCTTTCCTTTCTGTTTTTCAACTTCATTCTTCGTTCACATACGATATTTCTTATTGATCTAGTAACTACCCGAATTGATCGTTTGGTGAAATTGGAGATTGAAAATATCTTGTTTTGCTTTGGATAATGATGGTGGTTGATATTGATAGGTGACGTTTAAAGAACCGGATGCGGCCATGAGAGCTTGCGTGGATGCGGCTCCAGTGATCGACGGGCGAAGGGCTAACTGCAACCTTGCTTCTTTGGGTGTTCAAAGATCCAAGCCCTCTACTCCAAAACATGGTGATGAACGCTTTCTTTTTCTTCATTCAACTTGTTTCCCAAGGATCTTTGCTTCTTTTTTTTAATCTGAATTTATTAGGGTTTAGGTGATCGCATAAATATTTCAGATCTGGAGTAAAAGATCAATTATGTCTTTTCCTTCTTTATTCTTTTTTGCTTTATTGTTAGTTAGTTATCATCAAGTTTAGCAAGTGGTTACTATGTACTTAACGTTATCAGTAAAAAGAAAGGTGGTATCCAGGGCCCAAGCAAACATTCCATTTTCATGCAAAAAAATAAAATTCACCATGGAATATAGCGACGAATATTCCTCAGCAAGTGGAAAATTTTACTAAATTAAGATCGTAATGCTTGCATGGGAAGTTTACTAAATTATGTCCTCTTCTTTTCTTAAAATTCTGCTAAGAAAGAAAGTATGGTAGTAGTAAATATCGAAATATTACCATGATATTTGTTGTTGTTATTAGGGCTTGTAATTCATTCATGCATTAAAGAATCAGTATCGCTTAGTTGTTTTGGTTTTTAAAAATGAGTGATTTAAGCACGAACTAAATGATCTTAGTGGTTAATATATTGTTGTTATCTTTCGACGTCGTATGAACGTCCATTGTTAGTCCATTGTTAATTTAACAAATATTATCTTGTATTCATCCTCATTTAATAAAAAAATGTTATTTAATAAATATGAAATGGTGGGTTTCGGTGTTTGCAGGCAGGAATTTCAGGGTAATGAGCACATTCCATACGGGGTTTGGAGGAGGGGTGGGAAATGCAACAGCTTTTGCTTCGGCAGCAACCTTCCCCCCTCATTATGCCATCCAACAAGGGATCCCTTGTAATCTTTATGGGTATGCATAACGCTTCTCTCTTCTCTTCCTCGCATGCCATTAAACTAATTAACAAACACATTACTTATTACATCATCTCTCTCTAACTTCTTCTACCTATCTCTCTCTAAATATATATATGTCTCGAATTTAATGATGACCACTCATGTGATGTTTCGAATGCAGTACACATGAAATTTCATATATAAATTTAAGTTAATTAATATATTAAAGAGCATGTTATTTTATGCTTTTGCATGCAAAATGCACATGCATGCATGCCCGAGTTATAATATCATATTGCATGTTTCTGCTATGATTTAAAATGCTAAACTTTATTTCCTTCTCCCATTCTTTTAGGTACTCTTCATTCTCGCCGGATTACTCTAATTATCCCACAGTGTGTACACATTTCTCTCTCTAAATATCTCTCCTTTCTTTTTGCTTTATCTTCACGGCTTCAAATTCACTTTTTTCTCTTAAAATGGAAAATAATCCTAATTACGTGAAGCAATTAATAATAAACTTTACGATGGTTTAAATTAATAAACACTAATCAAATAATAAACCAGGGTTGGCGGTAAGAGGAAAAGCTAATTTTCCTTACTTAATCGCTGGCTGTAGTTGGCGGGCGGAAATTAGCTTTGTTTTACTTTTCTGTCATTCATTTTTGACCAATAATTTAATATAGTTTTCGTATTTGATAAAATGTAAGTCTACAAATTTATATATTAGTAGAAGAGCTCGATTATACTCTTTTTTTTAATAATTAACATGCTCAGATATTTAAATAAAGGTTCTTTATTAGAATAGCGGCCGTTATATTACGGTAATAGTATCGTCTTAAATTAATATTGGATGACTATAATACTCACAATAACTATATAACATCTACAATTACAATAGATACAATATAATAAAAAACGCGGCCGCAATCATAATTTAAATCCTTGATATTATTATAATTTGATGTCAATGTATACATTTATATTATTAACATGCATCAAACATAAATCTAGTTAATGTTACACAATAAAGTGCTTTTCGTGTAGGTAATATTAGCCAATAAAGTTAAAGGATGACAAACATGGGGTGAAACATGTTGTCTGTACGTCTGACTAGGGTCAGAGCCTTTGTACTGTTTGGCCCAGCATTTGACATTAGCACTTGCATTTCCTTATGCATACAGCTGTTGGGTGTCTTTGCTTTGTCCTCAACAGCTTCATCATTATAAATTGGAACGGTGGTCCATCCCTCCATTATTCTTCTAAAATTTTGTGTGAAACATTTACCAATCTTCATTCCTACTCCTAGCTAGGTTTGTTCCAATTGAGTGTGTCTTTACCAATGTTTCTGAAACTTGCATTTTCATGGCCATAAAGTCGGTTGTTGCTCCCACATGCATATATTGAGCAATATTACTAACTGTTTGCAATTGTGTGTTATGGTTCAGAGCTACAACAACGTGTATGGAGGGGCCGCTGCACAGTTCCCTATGTATGGTGCCGGGCCGGGTGGGTTGATCACTGGTGCGGGAACAACATTCTACCCTTATCTTCAATTCGGAGAAGGAACCGGGGGCGGAGCCACCACCTACTCTTCCGGCCAAGGATATGGTGTTCAGTATCCACATCACCTTTTTCAGTTCTCTACTGGGAGTTACCCACAGAACTATGGTGCACCAATGTCTCTTGCTCCTACTCCACCCTTGCAATCAGGTTTGTACTAATTGTATTTAAATCAATCTCCTCAAATGACATGCAACCATATTTCTTATTCACTGGCAAAAGATGGTAATTGCTGTTCAACAGGCGTGACCATGTCTCTTCATGCATCTGCAATCCCACATCATTGAAGAGACTCATTCCAAGCGTAGCTAGCTTCTGGGAAAGTTACTCAGCTGCTCTAAATTCCACCTTTGGTCTAACCATGGTTCTATTTCTCCCTCTAACTCGAATCAAAGGCCCAGCCCAAGGTTGGCATCTGGGCCTTTGAACACTGGAAATACCCCCCATAGGGGCACCACCTCCGGAACTGGAGGGTCATGCATGTTTATTTTTCCTATTGCATCGTTTTCAAGCAAGGGTTCCAAGAAGATAACCAAAGCATTTTTATCTAAATCCCAATTTCAGCTATCGGATCAGCTAAGTTGGGAAAAGTTTTTGTGCCCTGGAAAAAAGGCAGACAAAAAAGACTTTTTTGTTACTTTTAGCCTAGGCAAGGCTCATAAACAAAACAAAATGGTTTGCAATAACTGTAATTTTCAACAAAAGAAAAAGCAAGCCTCACATGAATGGCTAATCACCTCTTTTGACAATGAGGCAGTTTTTAGCAAAAAAAACCTGAGGGCATTGTATGTCCCCAAGTTATTTTTTCCCTTTTTTGTTCATTGACATTTAGTCATAGGGGCTTAGAAACTAGGAGTTCATGTGGTCATATTTTTACAAATATGTGTTTTTTTCAAGAATCGTCACTTCAGATCTTATTATAATATGTCTGAAGCAAACACTGTCTTCTCTTAGAGAAAGAGAAGATGATGTTTTACTAACACTTGTGTGTATTGTAAATTCAGTGTGGCTAAACTTTGGGAAGTATTAGCCCTTTTGCATTTAGTAGCATAACTCCATGAATGAATATGGACCTGAAAGCATTATGCATGCAACCCTAGGAGATATTTGGGTTCCTTAGGGTTCTTCTCTTCTAACGGACCGACCATGGTTAGGACTTAGGTAATTCCTCATCGCTTTACCTTTCCTTTTTCCTCCATCTCTTCTTCACTGTTGAACTTGTTAATCTTTATGTATGTGTAAGCCTATGGATTTGGATTGTAAACTAGCTAGGGATATTCTTCTCCATCCATGACCGTGATGATGCGTGGTTTGAGAATGAATTTGCTACTTTGAAATATGCTTTTATTTCAGACTCTTTACGTCTATGCTGCTAATGCTTTGTCCTTGATGTTCTAAGCTTCAAATTTTGTCGTGTTTAATTATATTTGGCTGATATTAACTAGTTTACTATATATGCCAACTATTTACTTTGGATTCTTTTTTTTTTGTGAACATAAACTACTGCCTCAGCCCATTTACTATTTACTATTTACTAGTTGGTAAAGTTAACTTTTCAAACAAACCGACGTACGAGTATTAATCACACTATATTTGAGGCCAACTACAACAACAAAGCAATAGTTACATCAGTTACACATTTTTTTAATCATTCACAGTTAGTTGAGCATTCTTTATTAAAATTTGACAAATGCTCGATTCTGATTAATTCAATTCGAGATTTTAACGAGTTGAGTCTATAATTTGATTTATTAACTTTATTAATAGTTCATAATTTTTTTATAATTCCTAAATAGTTATCTTAAAAAAATATCCCATTAAAAAATCTAAAATATAATTATTAATTTGCTAATAGATAATAAGTAAGATATTAAATTATTAATTAATAATTACTATTAATTTATTAATCTACTAATTTTATAGTAAACAATAAGGAAAAAATAAATCATTATTTATTAGTTATTAATTTACTACATCCAAAAATCAAACCTTAATTATTCTACTTAAACATTTTGTAAGTTTAACTAGCAACGAATCAAGTTGAGCATCAAGTTTTTTTTAATGAATACGAGTCAAATAAATTTTTAACGAGCATAACGAATAACAAGTAAAGTCGAATAGCAAAATTTTTTAACAAACACGTGTCGAACAAAATTTTGAAGAGTATAACAAATAACGAGTCAATTCCAATATCATTTTTTTTAAAGAACACAAATCAAACATTGCTCTACTTTGGATAAGCCCCTGTCCACATGACTTTAGTGAGTACATGTGTAAGACACTGTAACCTATACTTATAATTGTTATATAATATAATTTAAAGCAAAACATAAAAAATATTCTATAGATAAATCCGTTTGTAAACATCGTTACAGCCGTTGATTTTTATATATATTTTTTAAATAGTCAGTAGTAGTGACTATAAAGTAGTATATGTTTAAGATTTTTTTTAACATTGATGAAGCACACACCTTGCATAAGCAGCTATTCGAACTTATTACCTCAAGGGAGAACAACACTCTAAGCCACTAAAGGGGTGTTTGGTTAAAAAAATATCATTATTGGGGGAATAACTATTTTCAGAATCACATTTTAACGTTTGGTTTAAAAGCGATCCCTCCCGAGGGTAATGAAGTATTCTCAACCGTGACAATTTTCATGTCTTTTCCTAAGAATGTCATTCTCTCCATTTTCTTAGATATTATACAATTCTCCCCCTATGATAATAATACCCTTAAAATAATATATTTATTTCAAAATGATCATTACTTTTGTATATAATTACATGATTATGAATTTATTTTAACTCTTTAATGATTTTAATTTTTATAATACTTATTATAAAATAATATGATGCATACAAAATAAAAAGTAAAATAATAATATCAAATTTAATTTAATTTTTATTATTTATAATATATTTTTTATTTAAGTTTTTTATTATTTCTTTTGTTGCCCTCCTAATTCTAAAGTTTTACTTTGACTAATCCGGATTGATCCCGCATCGATGCAGCCACCTCAAATCAAAAAATTAGATTATAGAATCAATGTCTTTTTCTACTAGGAGAATGGTAAAGAACAGTCCCAATTTCTTTACCCTTTGTCGATGGAGCAAGCCTATCAGCCACAAGGTTTGCTTCATGATGCATGTGACTTATTCTTATTTCCCAATCTCGTTGCAGTAATTCACGGATCAAGCTTACAACCGTACAACTATTAATAGTCTAGATATTGTTATTGAGGATTTCCACCGCCTTTGCACAGTCTGTTTCTAATTCGATTTTTCTGAAACCAATATTCCAGATATGGCTCAAAGAATCTTGAATTGCCCACATTTCCACCATTAGAACAGAACAAATACCCAAACTCCGAGCGAAACCAAAGATCCATGTACCTTAATCATCTCACAGCACTCCCACTGCAGCAGCCATCTTCATCTCTCCACCTACAGCTCCATTTGAATTCACCTTTATCCAATCCATTTTAGGCCGACACCACGTACAGCAGCTCGACCAGCACCACGATGTCCTGACCAGTAAGCTTCACTCGCCGTTATTTAATTTTGAGTCGTACGCTCTACACTATTAAATCTTCCTGTTCGATATAGTGTGGTTGAAAAAGCAAACTACACTAATGCTTTCAGATTTTCCAGCAATGGCAAACATGATATTCCAGTTCCTACCATTGAACGAGAATTCACCTTGGCTTTTCACATTCATTATAATCCATTCATCGTAAGGCATTGAAAGAAACAATTGGAGTTTATTTTTATATATCAGCCTGCGTCGAATACCAATAGCCATAGTATCAAATTGCGGTTGCAGATGCGGTTGCGGATGCTGCGAACGTTACGTAACGTGTTGCGGCTATTGTGAGTCTGATTTCTTCCTCAAAAATTACAATACGTCTAAAATATTATATTTATACATTTTACAATTATCTTTTAATATACTAATATTAATATACTCTTTTAATATTTTATTTTGAAAATAAAAATTTAATTTAATAGATAAAAATTTATTAAAAACAAATATAAACCATAGAATTGTTATCATACTGGATAATGGGTAATAACAATTATAATGTTAATGAATAACATATAAAGAATATCACTAAAATCATATCAAATTTTTTATATTGTAACATAAAAATGTTCATTTTACATAACTTAGAAAGAAAAAAAAATACATAACTACAAATATAAAAATTATATATCTTACATTTTACAACTAAAATGAATAGTGTGGCGGATATAAAGCATTTACATCTTCCTCATTGTCTTGGTTTTGATACCTTCCTATTTCATGTGAAGAAGACATCGCATTATGTGCATCATAAGATGCATCATTGGTAGGAAACAAGTTGTATGATAAAATTTTATAGTAAATAGATTAGATAAAATTTTATAGTTTCATAGTAAATAAATAAAATGCATATACTATTATAGTATTATAAATTGAATTCCTATTTTATACAAAATTTATATAATAATAAATAAATATATATAATTATGATACTTAATGTTAATATAAAAATTTAATTTAAAATTAATCACGTCAATTTTAGATATGAGAAAAAATCAATTTAAATTTAAATTAATTTAATTTTAATCCAGTTTTAAGAATTAAATTAGAACAATTCATCTATGTAATTTTATATTTCAGATAATTTAAAGTTTGTTGCGACATTGCGGCGCAATTTATAACGTGTTGCGGTGTTATGTAACGATTTTTGACCGCAACAATCGTGATGCAGATCCCTTATCGCGTTGCACCGATATTGCGTCGCGGTAACCTTAAAAAACATTACAATGCGTGTGTTATGTTGCGTTGCGGCCACAATTTAGTACTATGGATCGAGCCGTAAAGGTATGGTTCGATTCCCATATTCAACCCGAGATATCCTTACCCAAATTCGAACTAGGTGGGTAAGTAGCAGCTATTCGATCAACATATTTCTAACCATTTGGGAATGAGGGTGTTACTATTATTTAATACAATAATATATTTATTTGAGAATGAATTATTATTATTAAATGATAGAAGTTTATTTTATGATTAATTGATTAATTTCATGATTTAATTAATTGTAGGAAGACGAGCAACGAGTCATCTGTCGTCAATTCAATATTCCTGATAAATCACACCATTTGATTGAAGATAACTTGCAAGAGGCTGGATTTTACTATATTACAATTGTTTGAGAGTACAAGTTGGTCCAGAGTTTGATCAGTAATTTGATTGAGCGCTGGAGACCATAAACACATACATTTCATTTTTCGTGTGGTGAAAAACGATATCGATAATGTAGAAGTACCTTGCAATGAGTTTTTTGGGCAGACGACGGCAAAACCAGAATTAAAAGGGTGGCGTTTGAAGCTATCATGGTTGGAGAATCAATTTAAGCTCCAACAAAATAATACACAACAAAAAATTTATATGCAACTCAAGCATATATATTTGTAAGGTATGACTCATAAATATACCGATAAAGAGGATAGGGGAGTGAGCGAACATCAACTGTCCTTACAAAGAAAGTCTTGTAGAGGGGGTTACGATTATGTGGGTTGGGGGTACGGGGGTTGTGCCCCCGCGGTACGGTACAGGGTTAATTTTGTAATTATGTACCAGGGTTTTCTATTATAAATAGAGATGTAACCTAAACCTATTATCATTGAATAAAAATTTTCTAGCGCCGCCTAGGCACTGAGGACGTAAGCATATTGCCGAACCTCGTTAAAATTCTTGTGTTCTTTCGTTTACTTTGCCCGATTTATCAATAATTGGTATCAGATGTCAGGAGCAAAATTCGAAGTTGCAAAATTTGATGGTCTGGGTAACTTCGGATTATGGCAAACGAGGGTGAAGGATCTGTTGGCGCAGCAGGAGATCCTGGAGGCTTTGCGACCGATGGAGGAGAAATATTGGGAAGAATTGCAACAACGAGCGGCAGGAACCATACGATTATGCTTGGAGAACGAGGTTATGTATCACGTCATGCATCTATCGTCTCCAGACGAAATTTGGAGGAAGTTGGAAAGTCAGTTTATGTCCAAATCCTTAACGACAAAACTGTATCTAAAGCAGCGGCTTTATGGGCTGAAGATGTAGGACGATCATGATTTGGCACAACACGTGAATGTCTTCAATCAAATCGTTTCTGATTTGGCTCGGCTTGATGTAAAAATTGAGGATGAAGACAGAGCGATGATTTTGTTGTGTTCGTTACCTCCCTCTTACGAACACATGGTGACTACTCTTACATATGGGAAAGAGACTATCAACGTTGAGGAGATTACTGCAGCCTTGTTGGCTTACAACCAGCGGAAGCAGAATGCAGGGGAAAACTCTCAAGCCGATAGCTTATATGTCAAGGGTAATCGAGACCG